GCTTTTACACACAGACGCTTTTACACACAGACACTTTTACACACAGACGCTTTTACACACAGACGCTTTTACACACAGACGCTTTTACACACAGAAGCTTTTACACACAGACTCCTTTACACACAGACCCTTTTACACACAGAAGCTTTTACACACAGTAAAATTGCAATTTTTTGTCAGTTTTTGACGTCCAACGTCCATTTCGTGCGTAAGGGTTGCGATTGACAACTCAAAGTCGCAATTTTTCCTCAGTTTTTGACGTCCAACGTCCATTTCGTGCGAAAGGGTTGCGATTGACGACTCAAAGTCGCAATTTTTCCTCAGTTTTTGACGTCCAACGTCCATTTCGTGCGTAAGGGTTGCGATTGACAACTCAAAGTCGCAATTTTTCCTCAGTTTTTGACGTCCAACGTCCATTTCGTGCGTAAGGGTTGCGATTGACAACTCAAAGTCGCATTTTTTCCTCAGTTTTTGACGTCCAACGTCCATTTCGTGCGAAACGGTTGCGCGGGACTAAGTAAACTCGCAATTTTTCCTCAGTTTTTGACGTCCAACGTCCATTTCGTGCGAAAGGGTTGCGCGCGACGCTTCAAAGTCGCAACTTTTCCTCAGTTTTTGGCGTCCAACGTCCATTTCGTGCGAAAGGGTTGCCGGCGACGCTTCAAAATCGCAATTTCACCTAGGTTTTGGACGTCCAACGTCCATTTCGTGCGAAAGGGTTGCGTTTCGTGGCGCTCCGGCGGCCCCGCCCCCGCCTTAAGAGAGAATAGAAGAAGAGCGAGAGGAGATCTGCAGATGTGAAGGTGTGAAGATGTAGATCGGCAGATGTGAGAGTGTGAAGATCTAGATCTGCAGGTGTGAGGGTGTGAAGATCTAGATCTGCAGGTGTGAAGGTATGAAGATCTAGATCTGCAGATGTGAGGGTGTGAAGATCTAGATCTGCAGATGTGAAGGTGTGAAGATCTAGATCGGCAGATGTGAGGGTGTGAAGATGTAGATCTGCAGATGTGAGGGTGTGAAGATCTAGATCTGTAGGTGTGAGGGTGTGAAGATCTAGATCTGCAGATGTGAGGGTGTGAAGATCTAGATCTGCAGATGTGAAGGTGTGAAGATCTAGATCTGCAGGTGTGAAGGTGTGAAGAAGATCTAGATCTGCAGGTGTGAGGGTGTGAAGATCTAGATCTGCAGATGTGAAGGTGTGAAGATCTAGATCAGCAGATGTGAAGGTTTGAAGATCTAGATCTGCAGGTGTGAGGGTGTATATGATGTAGATCTAGATCTGCAGGTGTGAAGGGTGTGAAGATCTAGATCTGCAGGTGTGAGGGTGTGAAGATCTAGATCAGATGTGAAGGAGTGAAGATCTAGATCAGCAGATGTGAGCAGAGTGAAGATGAAGATCTATCAGCAGATGTGAAGGAGTGAAGATCTAGATCAGAGATGTGAAGGAGTGAAGATCTAGATCAGCAGATGTGAAGGAGTGAAGATCTAGTATAACGGCTGCTTTTTTACGAAGAACCCTTCGCAGGCGCTCTCGGGAACAAGTGAAATCATTGAGTTCACGCACGCCGAGTTATGTTTACCAACAGAAACCTCTATTACCAATATATATATATATGTAATTTGGAAAGCAAAACAACATGTGTTTCTTCGGTTGTACCGTTATTCCTGTCTTTGCTGCTAAAAGAATGACCGTGCTTCTCACCACACCTCCACTATAACGGAAATCTGGGTGTGGAAAATGGAGTATACCCCGAAATAGCTAGTAAGATCTAGCAAATGATAGGGAAATTGATCATAATTATACTGTAATACTAGTCCTTAAAAAAAAGTATCAAAAAAAAACATCAAAGAATCATGGATCTCCACTAGCATTGAGGCCTGAAAAAAACTTGTCCAATGGAATCTCGTCCCCAAAATTTGAAAAGGTACAGCACAAGGTGACCCCCCCAAAACGATAGCTAAATTGATGCAAATAACTTGCTTAACGATTGGGTTGATGGGGGGTAGAACTGATATAATTGATATAACAAACTAGTATTCAAGAGGACACACCAACAAACATTTGACTGAGGATACTAAGTCCCCTAAGAAGGGAGCTTATCCCATATATATATATATATATATAATTCAGTGGCTTATAGAAAAGCCCAACTGTAACTTACTGACTAAGTCCCCTTACTCAATGGGATGATCCCGCCGGACAAGTCCGGCAGGTGCTTTTTGATATAGCCATAATGGTTGCAAAAGAACTCTTTGATGCTACAAAACCCTCAAACTCCCATATTGTATCATATTTCTACCCAACTTTCGGCTAAATATTGGGATTTGTTCTTTACCAATATAGATATATCACAATTATATACAGCTCTATACCCTCGCCAAATGGCCCAAATCGCCCCCAGCCCTCAACTGGCCCCTTCTCCCTCCCATGGCTCCCATGGCTCCATTGGCTCCCTCCAAGGCGCCCGGAACATGCCCTGCAAGTTGGGGGCCGCATCGAAGAAGGCGCCGTACAGTGAATCTGCCGCGCCCTCCCGGCGCTCGAAGACGCTCACCTGGGGAACTCGAAGCTGTACAACGTTGCTAACTCCCAATAACTTTGGTTTATGATACTTATATAGTCATAAATAAATATCCTTTACA